TTGACTTCTGCTGAGAACTCTTTATGGGAACTGGGTTTTTTCTTTTTTTTTTTTTTTTTAAGCAGTGGCAAAAAATGACAGAGAACATTCTGCATTTTCCCAGAGTCTGTGCAGAGTGTCCCCCTGCAATACACCATGCATTGATTCCAAGCTGTTATTTGCAGCCAGGACTGTGCTGGAGGGGAGGGAGGAGAAAGGATACGATGAAGTTTGTTCTCGTTGTGCTTGGAGGACATGCGGTTCAGGTGCTGCCTGTGACAGTGCAGTCCCCAGGGGTTGTAGCTCTTTCTTTCTGGCTGGTTTCCATTTGCATCTTCCAAAAGGGAGTCTGTGTGGTACTGAAGGTCTGTTCTCAAAAGCACCTTCCCCGAGCAGCTGGGCAAAGCACACAAAGGAACACATTGGGTTTAGAAGTTCCAGAGGAGAATATTCCCTTCACTCATTTTTTTTTTGTGGAGCCTCAAACTTGATAAGGTGAATTTGCAGGGGCTCTCAAAGGAAACATATTGATCATGTCCAACCTGCAGAGATCCTTTGTTACTCCATAACAGTAATTTTCAGAAAGGCAGCTATTTCTGCCTGCCAATATTTTCTTTCATTATAATTTAAAGTGCATTGGCTACCATGAAAAGCCATTCACAGCCCCAGTGACCAGGGATCTCTATTTATCCACCTAACAGGCACAGCACAGGCAAATGGTCCAACAACGGGAATGATTCCCAATCTAGAGGGGCTGGCTGCAAGGAGGGGAGCAGGGAGCAGTGAGGAGATTTGTTCTCCTTGGGGGGTCATTCCTTGGTCTCACTCATCCAAACCCCATCACTCCCATTGCTCCAAAGGCAGCAGTTCCACGGTCGTGGTGTTGCACCTTCAGTCACAGCTGCCCCAGGTGAGTTCTGAAGCAGTTTGGGATGAAGGATGTTTTGCAGAAAGCCTCTGCAAACCCAAAAGTCATGGTGTGCTGGAAGCACTGTGGTGCCTTCCCAGGAGAGCTCTCCCCTGGGACGGGATGGGACTGGAGCCCCCGGAGTGCTGCACAACTGTTGCCAGCAGAAGGGTGTTCCCAGCTCACTGACTGCTCTCCTGGGGCTGCTCCTCCCTTGGAGCAGGGTGTGCTCTGAGGAGTTGGGCTGAAAGCCATGTTTGAGGCAGATATTTGAGCAGCAGCATCTCAGCCACAGCCCCTCTGTGGATCCCCTCTGTGGATCCCCTTTGTTCCATCCCCAGGGTGGGCAAGAGCAGAGCCATGGACACCCCGGGCTGGGCTCTGCTCTTCTCCACCTCGGCCTTGGGGCTGCTTTTGCCCACTTGGCCACCAAACCTCTCCCAAACCCCAGCCCACCCAAGTGGCAGGAAAGGACCAGGAGGCTGGCAGGGAGTGTCCCACCCGTGGCAGACCCTCACCTGTCTCGGAAGGTCTTGGTGCCCTGGGTGTGGCTCCTCTTGACGAGCCCGTGCTCGGTGCCAGGGCTGGCCACCAGGGTCAGGTTGCCCAGGCTGTCCTTCTTGAGGTGCACTGAGACAACACCTGGACAGAAAGGGAAAAACAAACAGGAATGAGACAAACCTGTGGACTGTCATAGAGGCCTGGCCACCACCTCACCAGCCCGAGGAGGCCCAGCCTTGTGGAGAGGGCTGCCCAGCTGCCTCCTCATGTTTGGTGGCCTGTCACAGTGATCCCCCTCTGATTTCAGGCCCAATAAACACCATTAGTCTGAGACCCTGGAAAACAGCCTCGGGGATTTCAAGTGTTCCTCCTTTCAAGGCTCAGCTTGGCCCCTGCCTCCTTCCACACCACATTCCTTTGTCCTCCTCCAGGCTCTGCTGTGCCCCAGGTGACCCAGAAAAGCCCCCAGCTCTGGACCACAAGACCGACCCCAGCTTATTTAGCACAAGGGATTTAAGTGGTTTTTTTTTTTTAAGACAGGACAAGGCTGGAAATGCTTTTCATTGGCAGGAAGCAAAGGGAGGGTTGGGGACAAGGAATTTTCCAGAGACACTCAGCATGCCAAGTGCTTCTGTTAACTGGAGAGCCCCCAGGAGCAGGGCAGAGATGTGGGCATGGGCTGGCAGTGCTGCCCACACACTGCCATGGTTATGTCCTTCCTCAAGGACCAGCACCCAAATATCCCATGGGGGGAAGGATTGTCACACGTCCCATATTTATGCACTAGAGGGAACATGATCGTGAGCAGGGGGTATTTTTTCCACCCCAAGTGCTTAAAACACCATTATGAATTTTAGCATTGCAATTTTCCCTGACTCTGACAGGAATCACAGGGCTCAAATGCCAGCCAGCCCATCACGGATTTAGCCCAGTCTGAGCCCATTCCTGGCACGGGGATGGCTGACTCTGCCTCTCAAGTGACAGCACAGGAATGGCCACAGCTCTCACTCCAGCCAGCCCTGACCTTTCTGGGAAAGGCTGATAACACCATCCTGCTCCTGCAGCTCTGTCAGGGCTGGCTGAGCCTCCACAGGCACTGGGGGCATATTTAGAGCACGGCCCTTTGGGGCTCAGGGGGATTCCAGCTTCAAAAGAGGGCAGGGAGGGCTGTGGGACCAGCAAAACCATCAGTGGAAAGCCCTACTGGAGCTGGGTTTAACCCAGCTGTGCCCAGGGCACCCTCACCAGGTCTGCTGGGCATGCAGGGAGATGCATCTCAGCAGCCCAACAAACAAGGGCTCTCTGTTCTCCCAGGCAAAGGTGCCAAAGCAAATAAATATGCAAAATCCCATCTCTGCATTTAAAGTGAGATTACAGAAAGCAAACACAGACAGAAGGCTGTGCCCTCTCTGTGCCTGCCGGGCTCTGCTGCCTGAGGGAGGTTTTCCCCACCTGATTTGCAGCAGCCCCGTGTCCCTGCAGCCACCAGCCACCCCCTCAGACTGGGGGTGCCCATCCCTCCCCAGGTCCTGCCCCCCAGAACCCTGCAGCTGTGCTGGATGCACTTCCCTCCCACCCCCTGCTCAGCCACACAACCATTTCTCTTTCCTTTTGCTGTGCAATCACCATTACTGTGAACAGACTGGATTAAACTGGCTCATTTTACACTGAAATGGGGGAGGAATATACACAGGCTGCTCTGCCAGGGGAGATGGGGGGTCTGAAAACCTTAATTAGGGGGCAGGTAATATTTTTAGCTCTCCCAACTCTTTGCTCACGGTGGTGCTGGGCACAGGGAGCTCTGCCTTCCTCAGGCTCCAGCATTATCCTTTCCCTGAGTCCCTTTTGTAAAAATCCATATTACTGAGAGCAAACAGATCTCCTCCCAGCCCGGGTGCCTGGTCTGAATTTTCAGGGGATGTAGGCAGGAAAAAGCCAGTGTGTCTCTTGCCTAAATCTAAGCCTTTATATTTTTAAAAAGTCACTGTGAGGCGAGCGGAGCCCTGGATTCCGAATGCTCCGACAGCCTGTAACCTTAAAAACTGTCCCAGTTACTGCCTCAGTCAGCAGGGCTGTGCTCATTTACATAGTGCTGACAGGCTGGCCCAAAAAACTTATATATAGCGTGAAACCAAGAGTTGTTAAGTATCTGCCATTAATATGAAAATTAATGGGGAGATTTTCAAAGGCAAGAAGGAGCGTTAAATTGGAAGGGAATGTGATCCTCTCCCCCCTCCCGGCTGAAAATTCAGGCTTCAAAAAGCTACATCTCAGCCTGGAAAATGCTTTTGTTTCCTGGTGTGATTCCATATGGGTTTGCACATGTCCTGCCGTGACCTATGTGTGTAAAACAACTCCCTGAAACATGGCACCAGCCCTTCTCCCTTGCTGCAGCAAGAAAACATCTCTCTGGGATGCATTTGGGTGCATGTCTGTGCTGGCCTTTAGTGTCCCTGACACCCCAATCCCCTCCTGCCAGCACCAGCGAGGCACCAGTGGGTATTTATGGGTGCTGTCACCACGCTGGTGGCATCCCAGGATCCTCAGGAGGTTTTGCTCTGGAGTTCTGCCCTTGTGGGTTTATTTTTACATTTACAAGCACATTCATTGACTGCCATGTGCAATGGGAGCCTGAGCAAAACTAGGCTGGAAAACAAGCCCAGCATCACCCACCAAGCTCAGCTGGGGCAGGCAGGGCTTGAAGGGAGATGGGGAGGGGGAAGCCAGTCCCAAGGTCAGCAACCTGCCTGACATGGTGAGGTGAGCGGGAAGGGAGCTCCTGGCTTGGGGTGAGGCTGGAATGATATTTGATCACCACTGCACAGAATGTCAACCATTACATAATGCTCCCTGGGCCTAAGAATAGAGATGAGGCACTCGGACACGTGTAAAGGGGTGATGGAACCCTCAGGATCATTCCCGCCGATGCTCGTCAGCCCCATCATCCTCGTGGGAAAACACCCCACCTCTTTAATTGCCTGGGACAGTCAGGGGATGAGAAAACGTGTGCCCAGCGCCAAATTGGAGGAGAATTGCTATTTAATTACCCTTCATCACAAAACTCTCTGGGATTTGAAACAGGAGAGAAAACGACAAAAAGGTTTTAATAACCAGGGCGGCCCTGGACTGGTAAACTGGGACTGTTTAACAGCTTTATCAGTGGCACCCAGCAGGGCCCAGCACTGCAGCACCAAACCCGGCCCTGCAGAGGAAACCACCCAGAGGAAACTTGGTTTCTCCCTGAAGCATCTTTTTAATATTGTCCCATAAATCTGTGGGGGCCCTTGACTTTCTGGGAAAGGGAGAGATTGGGCTGAACTGTGGCTGACTGAGCTCTTTTCTCTAACACCGAAGGACCAAAAGATATTTTAAGCTTTTACGTGACAGCTGAGCTTCTCGCCTCCCCCAAAAACCAGGGTCAGGAGCTTTATGAGCAGCACAAGTCTGGCAGTAAAAGCAGAAACACTGAGGGAGCAAGAAAGAGAGGGAGGGAGGATGCCTTAAAAAGTACCAGCACTGCCCTCCCAGGCACCCCGTGCGGCTTTTCGGTGGCTGAGCTGAGAAATTCAGCTGGGAAAGGGGTTCAGGGCCAGGAGAGCTGGGGGTGTTTGAAGGGGGGCACCGAGCAGAGAGAGGGGCAGGGGGAGGCTCACTGGGAAGGTCTCACCTGCGGCAGGGCGGCTGCCTGGGCTCGGTTTTTAGGAAGGCGGGCGGTCTGTCCGTCCCCTTACCTTTGTACTGGGGCGTGAACTGCCGCATGGCCCAGGGCAGCGACTCGTAGAAGCTCAGCTCCTGCGACACGAGCGGCTTGCAGACGGTGTGCTCGTCGTAGCGCAGCATGCTCGTGTGTCCGCCCACCTGGTGCACGAAGGGCTCCAGGGGCACGGCCAGGAGCTCCGGGCTCAGGGGGCTCTGGCCCACCATGGGCTGGGGGCTCGCGGGGGGCTGGATCCCCCTCGGCAGCAGCACGGGAGAGTGGGAGCCCGAGCCCGGGGTGTGCAGGGTCGTCACCCGCGCTGGATCTTCACCCGCGCTGGGCTGTCACTGCCGGGATCTGCAGAACAGAGGGAATCAGGGAGTTGGAGTGAGAAGGGGGGACGAGCCACTGCAAAGCCAGGGCCAGGCACCGAGGGCACAGGCGGGTGGGATGAGATCTCAGTGCCCAGGGGCTGGCAGGGAGCCCCAGCCTGAAACACAGAGTCCAGAAAACACCCACTTTAGATCTGTTGGGGGCAAAAGAGACAGAAGGGAATTATCAAGAAACTTAAAATGATTTGCATCCTGGTTTTGCCAGCAAAACCCCAGTGCAGTGGTTAATAACATCTTTGGAAATCCATTTCTGTCCAGGAAAGCCTCCAAGATGTGTTGCCAGGTGAGCAACACCACCTCTGCCAACCCCACAGGACGGATGTGACCAGGGCAGCACCATCACCCCCTCCTCACCCAGGAGACAGGAACAGCAGAGGGATGGTGGCACCTCCTGGAGGGACCTGCAGCTTCCCATCGTGGGCAGCAGCTCCCAGGAGGGCAGCTCAGCCCTTCCCCAGAGCCAGTAGGTACAACCTGACCCAGGAGCTGGATCCAATGACACACAGCAGGAGGCAAAGCTCAGGACTCGATGATCCCTGTGGGTCCTTTCCACCTCTGTGGTATTCTGTGATCTCTGCTGCCTGAATCTCCCCTTCCCCTCCTGCTGTGGTCAACCCCCGAGCAAACAAGCACCTGGTGCAGGTGCCAGGTTTGTTTTGCACCTGGAGAGCTGGGATGGAGTGGGCTGAAGGCAGAGGAGGGGGAGAACAACCACTCCTACCTCCAAACCCACGAGCAGCTCCTTTATCTCCCCCAAGGTGGGATTTTCCCCCCCCACTATTCCATTCTTTGGGGAGGAGTTCCTGCTCTGCAATTACCTTACCCAGGGGAACAAAGCCAGGCCCCAGCCAAGCAGTTTCCAGCCGGGAAGAAAGAGGCTCTTCGGAGCCTTTCCAGGAGTTAATAAAAGCATTTGGCATTTTGTTAAGTTGTGACAATTTTTAAAGAGGATTTTCTGCCTCGAGACCTGCAGGTTTGTTGTGGTTTGGTTTGTGTGGGTTTTTTCCCCCTCTTCCCTTCCTCAAAAATAAGGAGAAAAGCCAAAAGCAAACGGATTTGTCATAACACCTCTTTGGAGCAGAGCACAACATGACTTAAATCCTTTATTGCTTCAGAGACATCGGTCCAAGGCTGAAACCCGGCTGTCACAACCCCCTGACAGCTCTGGCAACCTTGGCATTCCGAAGGGAGTTGGGGAAAAACACCCACACATTGATAAAGCTCTGAATGTTTTCTCCCAGGCAAAACTGGGAGCAGGATTTGCAGGAGGAGAAGGAGGTTCTTTTCAGGGAGTTTCTATTCGGAAGCAGCTCATCCATTCGGAGCAGATAAATGTTCCCACAAACACTGAGCTGCTCTGAGCTCCCCTGAAACAAGACACTTGAAATAAATCACTTCCACTGGCTCAAGGTATCGCAAATGCCAAGAGATATTTACGTCACTAAAAATACACGGAATTACAGATAAATCCGTGTCCTCTAAGCAAACCAGAAGCCTTCAGTATTTTTCCTTAAGCTAAAGGAAAAGCAACCCAGGTGCTGCAGGTGGAGGAGAGGCAGAAAGTATTAGGGAAGGAGAATAGAGAGAATATTTCTCCAGAAATGGGGCTTGGAGCAACCTGGTCCATGGAAGGTGTCCCTGCCCATGGAAGGGGCTGGACCTGGATGAGCTCTGCCTGGGTACAAGCCCAGGCTGTTGGGGACACCTCTGCTCCCCAGGTACTTCACCTTACACCCTGCTCTCACTCAGGGCCAAACATCAGAAGAGTCTGAGCTAAGAAGTTATTTACTCCCAACTCCAAATCCAGCCAAAAAACCCCAAGCAGATTAAATTCTCTAATCTTTAATTAGCACCTACTCCAGACCATCCCAAAAGGAACTCGTGTGGCTCTGAGTCCGGGAGCAAAACACAGCCAGCCTGGCCCTGGGAGAGCCCTCGCCTGGAAACCAGCTGGGTCCTTGTGGCAGAAATCCTCAGGAATATTAAAATCACTTTAAGAACAAGAGTTCTGTGCACAGAACCATGCTCTTAGTGCTGCACCTCGTGGTCACCTTCCCCTCCGGGACCTGGCTCCCCAGAGCATCCCAAAGCTCCTCTGCAGAGTTTGAGCACTGCAGGGGCTGCAGGTTCTTTTTGTGCTTCATTAACAGGCAAGAACGTGGCTGAGCTCTGTGTGTCCACAGCTCTCGGTACTGGAGCTGCCCTGGAGCCCAGGCCAGCCCTGCACCGAGCACCCAGAGCTGGGACACGGTGCCACCACCCAGAGAGGGGACATGGTGCCACCACCCAGCACAGAAACGGGCACAGGTTCCCTCACCCCCCTGCCCCATTTCCCCTCCACACCGCCCAGCACCACCAGCCCCTCCTGCCCAGCCTGGTGCCTTCTGGTGGTGCCACGAGCACGATGGAGAACCAGGAGCCCCCAGGCCCATGTCTGCAGCCCTTGGGCTGCTCCAGAGGTTCCCAGCAGCCCCCCAGTGCCAGATGTCCCTGCTGCTCCCGTCCCTTCCCGCCAGCCAGGGCCGTGCTTGGAGCCTTCCTAATAACATCCTGCCCACCCTCCAAAGTCATGTTCACGCTGCCCCTCCTGCCCCTGCCCTGCCCTGGCTCTCACCTGTGTGTGCAGGTGAGACACCTCCCTCGGGGGCACCTCGGGGTGCTGCCGGCGCTGCTCTCTCCTGCTTCTCGCTGTGTCTCCAGGGCAAGGAATGAGGGAAGGGTTGGGCATGGCCCGAGTGCGGCGGCGCTGGCAGGAGCCCGGAATGTCCAGCTGACAGCTGAGCCGTGCCCGGGAGAAACCCTGCGTGGGACAGGGATCAGCCCAGGCCAGAGCTTGGGACCTGCCTGTGCTCGGCCTTCCAGCAAGGCCACGCTCCAGCCTCTTGGGCAATCGGCTCTCCAGGAAAACAACTGGCCCTTTGGGCCAGGCTGTTCTCCACTGGCCCAAACACTCCCCGTGTTTACCACCTCCCTGCAGAGCGGGCTGGGGCTGGGGCTGGGCAAGGGATGGATATCCGGAGCTTCCCAGAGCTCCCAAACCCACCTGCTGGGTGGGAAAACACGCCAGGGAGACTGGGGAGGAGAGACCCAGGGGCTGCGAGCCAGGAACGGGGTGGTGAGGGGCTGGGGTGGGGTGCTGTGGGACACCAAATCACCCAAATGCCCAGGGCGAGAGGAGGGTTTGCCCAAAGCTGGGCAGCAGGTGAGAGGATCCAGAGACATGGGAGCGGTGTGGGGAATGGAAAAATCCCAGGGGACTTCCTGCCAGGGCCAGGCTGTCTCCTGCAGCCAGGCAAGGACAGTGTGTGCCCCCAGCCCGGTGTCCTCTCCAGCATGTGCCCAGGGCAGGCTCTGGACATGCTGTGCCAGCCTGTGCCAGCCTGTGCCAGCCCCTGCACCGCAAGGAGAGGGACCCACGTGTTATTTAGGGGATCACAAGGCAAACACAACCTGGGCAGTGCCTGGGACAAGGAGGGGATGTGCCCACTCCCACCCCCAGTCCCAGACCAGTCCCCAACAGGACCTTGAGGACTTCAGCAAACCCCTGCCCAGGCCTGGGGCCCCAGGGCTGCCATGGGGGCTTTGCAGCAAACGGCAGCAGGTTGGGAATTGCGTGTGGAATTACACCAAACAGGACCATTTCCTAACCCTGAATATATTGCAGTTGTAACTTAGCAACCTCAGCTGGGTAAGAGCATCCCGACAGGAATGCGGGTCCTGAGGAGGTGCAGCCATGCAGCCTTTTCTGTTCCCAAACCTTAGACACGACTCTGCCAGAGGAGGCAGCTCCTGACAGCCACGGAGCCACCCCCCTGTGCCGCTGGAAATCCCCCCCTTTGTCACCCAGACCCACAGGATGAGATCAATTAAACATTTCTCTAACCAAACATGAGCCAACCATGTTACACAACAGTGACTGAGGGACCACTCCTGCCACTTCAGGGGACCTGGGAGAAGCTGGAACTGGCAGGAGATGTTCCACCAACACTCGGGTGAGGGAAGGATTGAAACACTCGAGGAAAATGAGCCCTGAAGACAACCTGATTTACCATCAAGTTGTGCTTATGTGCAACAGCCTCAGAGCAGGGCAGGGACATCCATCCCACTCCATCCTCATTACTTCCCTCATCACTTCCCAGTCTTCCTATACCATCACCTGGCACATGTCCCAAAGGTGCACTGAGCTCACCATGGCCTGAGGGTGCTCCAAGGCACAGGATCAGCAGCAGCTTCTGGGAAATGGAGCTCCCCGGGGCAGGTCCACCTGATCCGAGGAAAACCACCTGGAACAGTCTGTGATTTCTCCATTAAAAATAAAGGTAACAATTATTTGTAATAAATTTATTTTTTATATCGATTTACAGAGCTAAATGGAACATATAAACAGCACCAAGCCATTGAAGTTTGTTCTACAAAACCAGGTTTAATACAAAAGGATGACGGCAACGCCTCACTCTGCGCTTCTGGACGGTTAAAAAAGCTCACCCAAGCCCCACAAAGAGTTTAAAAAGGTTTAAGAATGTAGGCACCAGTGTTTGAGAGAATTTGTATGGCAGCAGTGACAATCTTGTTACATTTTGGGAGAATCAAGGCTGCTTTCATTTTATTCCCTATTTAGAGGAGCTGATCCTTCCCCTGAAGAGCTGTTGAGTCTCCTGCCCAAACACCCGACTTTCACAACCAAAAATATGGGGTAACAGTCAGCTCCACACAGGATATTCCCCATTTAATGGGAAAGACCTCCCTGTGTTTTGTTCCTGGAGGAACCCACTCCCTCCACCCATTCCGGGGGATGTCCAGGAGCAGGAGATCCCTGTGGATCCCCAGCAGCCCAGGGGGTGCCAGGCAGACTCCCCACCCAGGGAGGTGTGGGGAGAGCTGCAGACCCTGCCAGGGGAGCAGGGACTGGCACAAGGAGCAGGGCTGTGGCATCCCCTGCCCAGGAGGGAGCAGGGCTGTGGCTGCCCCAGCCCGCCCAGAGCTCTCCGTGCATCCAGCCTCGGGATGTTCTCCTCAAGGACAACATCCACGGGTCACAGGGCTCAAATCAACTCTGGTTTCACTCTGCAGTTCTCCTGCCTGATGCCAGCAATGGGTTTGGTCCCTGCAGCCCCACGAGCTGTTGCACAGCCCCGGGAAGAGCAGAGCAGCCACATCTCTGCTGAGCCCAAACTGCCACACACTGGTGCCATTTCCTTGGAAACAAACACTCGTTTGCTGGACATGAAAAGCAGCTGAAGTAACCAAGTGATTACAGACACAAGACACGGAGCAGGGCCGGGAGCTGCTCCCGGGACCCACGGGGGCTGCAGGAATCCTGCAATCCCTGTGCTGGCACATCCCTGCTCCAGCACAAGCACAGACATTGCAGCTGCCCAGCATAAACATGAACACTCAGTCCTCAAAGCCCTCCCAAAGCTGCCCTTTAATAGCCACAGACCAACCCCCGTGGCTGCAGCCACAGCAAAGCGCCTTTGGAAGCTTCCGATATCCTTTATTTTTCCGCCCGAATTCCCCCCACCCCCCTAAAATCATAAAGCACACAGACTGCAGACTTAAAAGTGTAACAGGGTCACAACCTCTCTCCATCCCCCCAGCCCAGCCCAAACCACCAAGGCACGTGAGGCTGCCTCCCTCCTCCAGGCCCAGCTTCACTTCATTCCCCCTCTGCCCCACTTTGGAAGGGTGAAGCCAACACATCTTCCTCGCTGGGAAGCAGCGAGTGCTTTCATCCCTCTTTGTCCTGACTAAAACAGATTCTAACAAAACACACCTGAACTGCCACCCTAATGTTTCCATGGGAAATGTCATCTTTAAGCACGTTGCCTGGTGGACACTGCCACCAGTTGGCCTTTGTAGAATTGAGGTCAAATTTTGCACCCCCGGGCTCTGGCAGAGACGCCCCAGCCCTCGAGAGCAGCTGTGCTTTTACTCTTTGTAAGTCATTGCTCGCTTGCCACGGGAGCCAGGTCTCTGTGGAAGGCTCACTTTGGTGCAATTCCAGCTTCCCACCAGCTCAAGCCCATCTTCTTTCCAAGCCAACATTATTGCCCTGAATTTGCGTGTGTGAAGATTTTCAGAAAGAAGAGCAAACAGACACGTGCAACCCCAACCCTCGGGCCCTGCTCCTCCCACCACCAGCGAGGGGCCTGTCCCCTTGCAGAGGTCCATGTCCACATCCACATCCACAGCTGCTCCACTCCTGCTCCTCCTCAGTGCTCTGAGTCCGAGAGGTACGAGGGCTGAGTCCATCTCCACACCAGCATGTCCTCCCCGGCCACCCTGTGGGACTCTGTCTGGATGCGGGACTCGTTGGAGGCCAGGAAATCCACGGCTCTCTCCCACACCCGCTTCATCTTCTTTCTGCAAGAAACAGCAAGGAAAAGAAAGTAAATTAGAATCACAACCTCACTGTGCTTCCCTGCCTACAGCAACTGTGGCCGTGGATCCAGGCACCACTGGCTGCCTCCCGCTCCCTGTGCAGGCAGGGAAGGAATCCAACCAGAATCCTGGTTTAGAGGGGATTTCAGAGCAGGGCATGGACACACAGGTCCTGCCTGGAGGGAAGGTGAGACCCTCTGTCAGTGACAGTGGATTTCAGGCTCAGTTCCTATTGCAAAGGGGCTCAGTGAGCAAACTGCCCTCCCCCTTCCTGCAGGAGGGATCTCACCAAGGGGACACTCTGAGGATCTCCCGTTTGGGATCCAGTTATTCTGGACACCTCACACCCAGGGACCGGTTCAACAGCTGATGCTCCATGTCCAAACAAACCAAATCCAAGTGCTGCTGGACAGAGCAATGACAACACACCTGTGGGACTGCACAGAGCACCAGCCCCAGGACTGTCCCTTTGATCTGCACCAGGTTCAGGCACAGCCTCAGTTGTGTCCAACCCTTTCCCGACCCAAAGGCTCCAGCCTCCTCCTGCAATGCAGCTCCCAGCACTCAGCTGCACTTCAGAGCTGTGCTGAATCCCATCCCAGCCCTCCTGAAGGCCCAGATCCAGCTCACCTGCTCTGAGGAGGAATCAGACTGTCCCGGACATGGAAGATGCCAACGTAGGGATAACGTTCCGAATTCCGTTCCCATTCCTTGTAGTGGTCCTGGACAACAGCTGGGGGGAAGGAGAACAGAACAGTGAGAGCTCCACACTGCAGGAAGCAGAGCAGGGCTACTTGAACTCACAGAGCTCCTACCTATGATCTTCTTCACCATGTCATACATGGCTTGTTCCTCTTCCTCCATCTTCCGCCAGCGATACCTGAGGAAGATCAGGATCCCCCAAAGAGTGATCAGACCTAGGAGAATAAAAGCAAACAGAATTCAGTAACTGCCACTTGTGTATTGCTGGAAGCAGTTTTAGTTCTGACACTGCCTCTCCCCAGAGGCAGCTTTCACTCCCTGTGACCCAGGCCTGCCTGGAACTGAACCCAAGTGATTCATTTTGTACCCCAGTGCAACTGCACCCTAAAATCCCTTGGTACTGACCACCCCCTGCAGCAGAAGAGCACATGTGGATGTGGGATGAGGTGGCTGGAAGGCCTCAGCAAGGAGCTCCCTCCCCAAAAGAAACCTCAGCACAACCACAGTTCTGCAAGTCCCAGAGGAGTCTTTGCCAGAGGCCTCCCCCACAGTGATCACTTTGGAAGGCTGTCAGGCTTCGCTGCTCCAAGGAGAGCTGCTTGATAAGGAAATAAAGCCTGGGGCTCCAGTGCCAGCCCAAAATTCAGATCTATATGGAAGGTTTAGCACTGACAGTGCCCCCATTAGAATTCAGCATCTCAGTCTCTGCAATGAACAAAACTGTCTCCTGTCCCGCCCTCCCTGTCAGGCTGGATTATAAACTCCTCCAGTCACACAGCTCTCGTTATCACCTCGCTGGGTAAAACCTCTGTCTCAGCTGAGGCACGACACACTATTCCAATAAAACCTCCAACCCTGAAATGCTACAAGTCATTATTAAAGAGGCTGGAAGACTTTGGGGCTTAGAGCGAGAAAAAAGAAAAACCGACTCCTTTAGGTAAGTTAACACACTTATTTTGCAGCCCATAATAATGGATACTTGAGGAATACCCAGAGAGCTAATCAGCTGGCTGATTTAAAGCACGTTTTAAGCACTCAGAGCACAAGAGCAGTGCTGCGGGTCTCCCTGTGCTGCCAGAACAAAGGTTAATTAGACATTAACTCATCAGCAGATTCATTTCACCTCTGTTAGTCATCTCCTATGGCTGGGAACATGTGTGTGTGCACAGGGCTCGTCCCTGCAGTGGGCAGGGGAGGCTGAGCACTCCCAACTTACTCCAGAAGAAGAGGAACAGGTTGGTGATGGCCATGACCACGGCGCGGCGGAAGCGGCAGCCGAGCCCCATCTGCGGGCGGGCAGATTCCAGGCAGAACACTTCCTCCACGCTGGAAACAGGCCCCGCCAGGTCTCTGCCTTTCAGCCTGATGGGAAGAGGCAGAAAATCTCACTGAGGAGAGCAGACTCCAACTGCAGTCTTTAATCAAGGCGGGGAGAACAAACAGACTGCAGATGCGGTAACTCCTCCCGCGCAGCACACGGGAAACGCTCCGACAGCCTCCTGCTCCTGCCACAGCATTTCCCTCCTGCTCCTGCCACAGCATTTCCCTCCTGCTCCTGCCACAGCATTTCCCTCCTGCTCCTGCCACAGCATTTCCCTCCTGCTCCTGCCACAGCATTCCGGGACTGGCTGCTTAGCAAGGGATGGATATGGCTGCGGAAAGGCAGCGGGGCTGGAACTCCCAGCGGCACACGGGAGCCTCCCGCTGCAGCCTCTCTGACAGCCCCTCTCAGTGTGCACAAGATTAAACTCGAAATTGGATTCCCACCTCCCAGCACAGAGATGGAAACGTTCCCCGAGTCACTGCTCCAGAGCTGGGGGAGGCCAGGGAGCCTGGGCTGTTCTCCTCAGCACTGGGGAGCAGGAACAGCTCAGCTACAACAGCGACAGAGCATCGGCTGTGTCTGCAGGGAGGGCACCACTGCCAACCACCCCCTGCACTGCTGCTCCCCTGAGCCCTGACCTGCTCCCAGCTCCCTCTGCCATCCCCTCACAGGGATCCAGGGGAGAGCCACCAGGTCCAAAGCAACTGGACCAAAGGGGATTTTATTGAAGCTCCTAATTCTGTCTGCACTGAACAACCCATTAGACAAAGAGGTTTTCCCAATTCATTAGTGCTCAGCTCACAAACTGCTGGCAGCTCGGATTTGATTCTGGATTCTACAGGAGCTGGAGACACACAGTTGTTTCCCCCGCCCTTGTCTTATTTACAATCCAAATTCCATGAAAATATTTAAAACATGCAGCAGAATCACCCAGTGCAAAGCTCATTTTCAGTCCTGCCTCTGAGACTAGCACCTAAAAAATAATGTCATGTAGCAAAAAATGCCAGGGGCAGATTTTTGGGGCTGTTCCACACTCCTGCACAGCACACAGGCTCCAAGGAAGTGCATCCATTTGGGGAACAACAGAGCTGCTAATTATGGAAATAAAAATGTGGGAGTATATTGTATCCCACAGCTCCTACTCGAGTATAAAAATATAGATTTGAAAACTCTGGATCCCAGACCACCTACAAATCCAGACCTGCCCCTAAGGAAACCACGTCCCATCCTGGGAATTGCACACACCAGTAATCAAAGCAGGAGACACTGTCTGATCCTTGGATCACAGCAGAAGCTGCAGGAATATTTAAGAGCAAATAGAGCAATGGGAATTCCTACAAGGTTTGTTCACCAACCCCATCACTCCAACTGCTGCAATTCAGTTAATCACAGACATATTTAGCAACGTGGAAATGCAAACAACTGTTAGACTTCAGAGTTGGCACAGACTGGAGGCAGCCCACACTTCCCAGAGGAAGGTAACAGTGGCTGCAGACTCTGGTAACACTCTTTCCTAAGGTTATGGACTGAATGTTGTGGGGTTTCCCTGAAAATCCAGTACTGCTGGCTGACAAACTCCCCCTCAGTGACCAACCACCAGCCAGTCAGTCAGACAATCCATTCAGGAGGAATTTCCTCATGGAAAGGTCAGTCAGGCACTGGAAGGGGCTCCCAGGGAGGTCTGGAGTCCCCATCCCTGGAGGTGTCCAGGGAAGGACTGGCTGTGGCCCTCAGTGCTCTGGGCTGGGGGACAAGGTGGGAACAGGGTGGATCCATGGGCTGGGAGGACTTTTCCAACCTCAGTGATCCTGTGATTTAATGTGCACTGGGTGTTCTGCCAGAGGGACAACTGACACTCCGGATACCATTCAAGGTCCATTCTCCTCTCCTCCTCCTTGGGATTGCTCCAAAGGATCCCAGAGTGTGGGTGACATTCCCCACTGCACAGAGGGCTTTGCTGGCCAGGGAACCCTTTGGTCCAAGGATGCAGCTCCACAAATGCTGCAGCTGAAACTGTGAAACTGGGAAAAGTAACCACATGGGTAAGTTCAAGAAGGGCTGTAGGGGCAGGACAATGGGCAGGACACCAGCACCACCATTTCCAAATCTCACAGGAGGCACAACACAACCACTGATGCCACAAGCAGCCCTGGCCTCCCATTCCCATCTCATCTGCAAGGCAGCAAGACATCCCTGGACACGGTGTCCTGCAGCCAGGGCTGGGGATCACACTCCTGGAGAGCTCAGTTGCCATTTTGCTCCAGGGTTGCTGTTCTCCTCTGGAAGTTTGCCCAGCAGGCACTGCCACAGCCAATCCCACATTACCTGCTGAAGGAAGCTGAAGGGCACCCACAGACCTGTCCAATTACACAGCAGCCAACCCTCAGAACTGGAACTTTGACACACTGGGCTTCCACTTACCAAATTCCCAAATCCTTGTTGCTGTTCAGTATCCAGTGCAGGGCAGCTTCAAACTTCTGTGGGGAGCTACCAGTAACATTCTGTGCAAGGAATCCATAAGAAGATTAGTTCTCCATTCACTTAAAATACTGAACAACATTATTTCATTACAGGAGTGGGAGAATTCCTTCCATATGGTCTGTCCCCAGGTTAATTCTTATCAGAATTCTGCAAACTGGAGGAAGGGGAACTAAGCCTGAAGGTCTGCCTGGACTAAGTCTCCTGACTGGGTAGATGATGCATGAAGCACTCTGTGAAATAACACCATCCCAGACTGTTAAGACTAACCACTAAATACAACATAATCTTACTGACAGTTTACCAGGAAAGAAATGGAATGCTAGATCAGAGCACTCTGTCTCCTGACACTTTGGGGTATAGAAAAATCCTTCTTCTGCCCAGCCCTCAATCCAGGGAAATTTCTGGTTTCACAAGACTGATGGCTCCGGTGAAACAACAAACCATTAAGTTAAGATTTACAGGGGCTGAATCACAGATGGAGGAGAAAATGATTTTCAAAAGAACTGCTGAGAACAGGACTGGCCAAAGGGGAAGGGAGAGATATGGGAAAGAATCAAACCAGGATGAGGGAGCAGAACGGATGGTGAATTGCTTTAGTGTCTATTATTTATTGCCTTATAAGAGACTAAGCACTAGGTCATAACAAAGCTGCTCACAGCCTACTCACCATCACGTGGTCCTTCGCCTCACTAACCCAAATGCATTTGCTTTTTAGATTCTCAGGGTTTCCACATTCAAAATTACCTGGTAAAAAAGTCAAATAGAAATAACGTTTGGAAAAAAGCCCTTGAACAGCTCAGAACTACACTCTGAATGTACACCAAGAAATACTCTCCTTTCCAATCAGCTCCAGCCCTGAGCAGAATGACTCCAAGGTGAGATTTATACTGCAGGCAGATCAGATTATGACTATTAATAAAATGCTCAGCCACTGCACATAGGTTAGATAAGGGCAATCAAACCACACTTTGGAGCTGCTGTTGGATAAGGGCAATCAAAGCTCACACTTCAGAGCTGCTGAACACAGAATGAGGGGGGAAATCCTGTTTGTGCCCCTTGCAGAGCACAGAGCCATGTCTGGGCCCTGGTGCCCTGCAGAGGGGCTCCTGCCACCAGGCAGCAGGGACTGCAGAGTGCAGCATTCAAAATGCTCCCAAGGAGCCGAAATCACAGCTCTGCCTTCCACCCAGGCACAGAAATGCTGGCGAGGAACTAAATCCTCTAAAACTTGCCTCACCAAGTTGACTAAACAAATGGGCTGAGAGACTGAGTAAATCTGGTGGAAATCCGGCAGCTGCCGAAGTCAGATTTGAAAAGATTTAGGAATTATGTGCAGCTTCATATCCAAAGCCTTCAGCCTTGAGGTCTGAAATACAGAAAATGGAACTGAAACACTTTTACTGATTACCACTGCTATGGATCTTGCTGAACAAGTCTCCGCTCATGCACTGGATTTCTAGCAGCCTTCTCCATCCCAAAATACCAGTGATGGGCTGGATTTACTCAATATAGTAGAGACTGAGCTGACTGAACCCAGCTCAGAGAGCCTCTGTGGTGAGAGAAGAGAGAGGCACTCACACATCTGCTGCCACATTTCAGCAGAAAATGACAATTTCTGAAGCCACTTTTACTTTGTTTGTAAGAACACACCAGTTTACACTTAATGGCTCTGAGTGCCTTGAAGACAATTTCAAGATGTTGGTAGAATCATAAAACTGACTATTTCTACCTCAAATTCCCAGCGTGTCAAGTGCAAACAAGGCCCACTCACCAGGGCAGAGCGATACGAGTGCAGCAGCCGAGCACTAATCAGAATAAAAATAACTCCACCTTTTCCTGTCTTCCTATTACCTGACTTCCTCAGAGCTCTTCAAAGGGAACTGACTGTTCCAGAAACCACTCTCTCCAAAGTGAGGGCAGAAAGCACCAGGGAGCTGGGAGAGGCAGTTCCTGGACGCCCAGGAGTTCTGTGACTGAACTCACCTGCCTGCACGGACAGGTAGTTGTAGAGCTCGTGCAGCACAGCCATGGTCATGTCCCTCTGCTTGGCCTGGCAGAACTGCTGGCAGAGACAGGAGCAAACATGAGCAGTGGCAGTGGGACAGTGGGAGAGCAGCTACAGACCCCACAGAGAGCAGCAGTGCAGTCTGGCTCAGTCCTGCCCCACCAGCTCCCACCAAACACACCCACAGCACACACTGGCAGGTTCCAGTCAAAGGTGACCTGGGGAATCCTCTGCAAGTCCCTGCCCCTGGCAGGAGGTGGAACTGGGTGAGACTTAAGGTCCCTTCCAGCCCAAACCAGTTTGGGATTCTGGTACTTCTACAAAGTACCACCGACCACCCCAGCCCAGCCTGCAGCATCAGCCACCCCTGGGATGGATCTGTGGTCCCCAGAACATCCCAGCCACCAACCAGGACTCAGAATCCAACAGGAAATTTTCTCACTCCTAATCATAGAATCCCAGACCGGTTTGGGTGGGAAGGGACCTTAAAGTCCACCTTGTTCTGCCACGGGCAGGGACACCTTCCACTATCCCAGGTTGCTCCAAGCCCCGTCCAACCTGGCCTGGAACACTCCCAGGGATGGGGCAGCCACAGCTTCCCAACAATCCATCCTGACAGAGAGAACAAGCTGTGCAGACACTCCGCTCAGGGAATTAGCTGGATTAAATCTTGTACTGTTAAAGCTGCAAACAGCTTTATTGCAAACCAATATCACTTCTGGTACAACTGTTAAAGAAATTGATTCACGTAATTGGGAATTTAAATTTTTATCTTTCGGAGTCTCATACACATTCCTAATTTAATCTGGCCCATTAATTCCAACCCATCAAGTCCCAAGTTTTCTGTAAAATGATAGAACTAATCATTTTACAGCAACACCGCTATGGGTGGATGTTACATAGAATAATCACTGTTCTGTGAGAATCCCCCAGACCTGAAGATAAATAAATAAATGCTTACATCATCCGTGCTTTTGTCACAATCCACAGGCAAGAGATTAACTACGAGAGAGAAGAGGGTGAGTTAGCTGGCTGCAAGTAAGAGCTTTGATCAAGAGAGTAATTATCTTTTAAAAGAAGGTTCTGCTTTAAAGCCTGATGCTGCTGTTGTTAATCTCCCTCGGGCAGCACCTTGCAATGCAAATGGCCTGTTCAGGAGCTGCTCTGGGAGCAGCACTGGAGAAAAACAAATAAAAAGGTGCCAGTGATGAATCTGGTCAGCTGGGAAGTAAAAACTGGGGCTGGATGCTCTAACAGCTCCTGTTTGAGGAGATGCTTCACACCCCTTCCCACTGATCTTTACACTCCAGTGATGCCACTCACTGCCCACCACAGTCACCGCAAGTATCCGGGAGGGAAATCAAACCTCCTCGAGGCACAGGCTTTTGGTACAGGAGTTATTCCAGGTGGAGCTGTTCCCTCTGCAGATTATGGCCATGCCTTAACTGCTCTCTCCACCCCTCCGTCCCTGCTGCCTGTCTGAGGCACCTCCCAGCACCCTGCACTGCCTGAGGATTGGCACAATTCACACCTGGGCAACCTTCCTCGCTCCAAACTCCTCTCAAAGCGTTAACGGGTGCACCAGAAATCCATGACACGGCAGTTATATCCTGACTTTGGGAACACAGCAGCTTTCCCAGCCCATGCAAAGGGCACAAACACCCAGGGGCACAGTGGGAGGAAGCTCAGGACCAGCACCTTCCCAACTGCCCCAAACCCCTCCACGTTCAGCTCAAAGCCATGACATGTCCATATTTCCAGCTGTTCCACTGGGAAACTCTGCTTTAAAATCAGGTGGTGGGGAAGCCCCTTTCCATTTCTCATGGAAGCTCTGTCACATTTTAAGTGCCCAATTCGTTTGCTGCACTTCCCCTGCCCAGGATAAAGGTTGGGAAGGGCTGAGCCAGCAGAGGGAACATTGAAAGCACACACTGGGTGTTACAGAGACATTGTGTTCTCCATCCTTGGCCTAGCAGGAATCCATAAAATCCATCCTTGGCCTAGCAGGAATCCATAAAATCCATCCTTGGCCTAGCAGGAATGGCACTCCCCATAAACCCCACGGTTCCGAGGAACTGAAGGCCAAGCTCGTTTGGAAAAATCACCCACTTCACTTGCTTTCCATGACTAAGGTTTCCCATGGGCAAGGGGAGATGGAAACGGGGACAGACGCAGAGATGTCAGGTTAGAGCAATGAGAATGATAAATATGACGGTGACAGAAGCAATAAAGGTAAAGCAGGAAGAAGGTGAGGAATAGAGTTTAAATCAGAATTAAACCCGTGCACGTACAGCTCTCGTCTCTCGTGTCCAGCCAGCCTGACCCAACCATCTTCACCACGAGGATGCCCAGAAAAATGAGGAGCAGCACTACGCTGGCGAGGCAGAGGAACTGGGAGAGGTAGTATTCCAGGCCTTTTCCCTTCCCCTCGGGCTGCTGCCTGGGGGCCGAGCGGAGCAGGGCAGTGCGGGGGGTCACTCCGTACCCCCCATCGCTGGACGCCCGCCACGGGAAGCGCCGGATCAGCCCCCCGGCCCGGCCGCCAGCGCTCGCATCCCTCTCTGCCTCCTTGCCAACGCTGGAAGTCAGGTCCTCCTTCCCCCTCCTGAACAGCTGACTGAACCCCCCGGGGGCCGCCGAGGAGCCCCACTGGGTGCTGGGGGTCACCTCACTTTCCCGCCTCCACCAGCTGTTGGAGGAGAGCCCCTTCCTCTCCCCCGCCGTGTCCCAGGGATCCCGGGAGCTCTGGCCCCCAGCTCCCACTGTGCCCCAATGGCTCCTGGACTTCAGGCCCCCGCTCTCCTCGCTGGGAAGGGGTTTGGAGCCGAGCCCCCCGCTCCTGCCAGCCGAGGAGCCCCAGTATGGCGTGGAGCTCAGCCCCCCGACCCCATCCGGGGGCGGCCCCGAGCCAGCCCTAAAGCCGAGCCCGCCGCCCCTCTCCGCCGATGGGCTCCACTGGGACGCGGAGCTGGACCCCCGGGCCCTGTCCAGGGTGGGTCTCAGCCCGCTGCTGAGCCCCCCGCTCCTCTCTGCTGACGTGCCCCACTGCAGCGAGGAGCCCCGCACCCCATCCAGGATGGCCCCCGGCCCCGTGCTGAGCCCCCGGCTCCTCTCTGCGTTCGTGCACCAGTGGGACGAGGGCCCGAGCCCCCCGGGCCCGTCCAGGGGCGGGTGAGACCCCCCTCCGAGCCCCCCGCTCCTCTCTATGGACGTGTCCCACTGGGACGGGGAGCTCAGCCCCCCGTGCCCGGCCAGGGACGCCCCCAGCCCGCCCCCCCCTCTCTCCACAGCCGTCCCCCAGCGCTCCGAGGGGCTCAGCCCCCCGAGGCTGTCCCGGGACAGGCCGCCCTCAGCCCTGTTGCCTCCGGCCCGGCCCGGCGGGGACCCGCGGGGGTCCCCCCAGGCCTGCCCGCCGCCCTCCCTGGACGTCCCCCAGCGGGACGCGGGCGGCTGCCCCCCTTCTTCCTCCTCCTCCTCCTCATCCTCCTCCTCCTCCTCGCTGTCGCGGGTGAAGCTGGAGCGCTGCCGCGAGGGCGAGGCCTGCGGCGGCCCGGCGGGGGAGCGGCCCGGGCTGGGCGGCGCGGTGCGGCCGCTGCGCCGGGCGGCCGCCACCTCGGCCCGCAGGCAGCCCAGCTTCTTGACGTAGACCTTGCGGGTGGTGGCGGTGATGGGCCCCGGGCGGTAGCCGAGCGCCAGCAGCTCCTTGCGGAGCTCCGCGTCCGTCAGCTCCGCCATGGCCGCGCCAGGCCCCGCCGGAAGCGCGCCGCAGGCGGGAAGCGCCGCCGCCATGTTGGGAGGGGCCCGGCGCGCCCCAGCGCCGCCATGTTGGGAAGGGCAGACAAAGGAGGCGGGGCGGGCGCCATGTCGGGGAGGTCGAGGGGAGCGCTGCTGCCCTGAGGGATCGGAGGGAACGGGCGGCGGGAGCTGCTGCTCCCCTCGGGACAGGGGAGAAGGGGCGAGAAATGGAGAAAGCAAAGGGCAAAAGCAGCCTCAGCGCTGGGGTCGGCCAGTGTCACTGCCCGCGACAGCGACGGGTTGTCCCCCCCTCGAGCATCTCCCACCTCACCCCGACCAAGCCACACGGATGTTCTGACGCTTTTAGGGCCGTTCTCCCCAAAAATGTGTCTTTCCCAGCCATCTGCCAGCCCCACACACATTGCCTTCACCGCTGCCAAGCCACCGCCAGCGGCTGGAGCCCGGCCAGCGCCTTCCTGGGATCAGGGGCCGGAGCCCAGGGATAATTCCCGGGAAGGAGGGTCCCCGCACGCTCCTCAGCACAAAACAGCAGAACCAAGCGTCGACTTGTAAATTTGTTTTGGCAGGGCAGTGATGTGCAGTAATTGCTTTTTCCTGCTCCCGCCTCTAAAGAAAGTAATGACAGTGGCTGAAATACTGTGGTGTAATATCGGAATTTAATTAAAGATAATGAGAAAGCGGTGATGAACGCACGGGCTGGATGTGTGCCGCTGGTGTTGGGATCGAGGTGTGATACCGGAGTGGGAGACATGCCGTGGTCCCTTGGGAATGGGACCCACAAGGAGTGGGAGGCTCGGGGGGATGCTCGGCCTGGATGAGACGGGAAGAGCTGAGCTGTACATTCCCGACATGAATCCCAGAATCACTGAGGTTGGAAAAGACCTCCAAGACCATGGAGTCCAACCTATGACCAATCCCCACCTTGTCCCCCAGCCCAGAGCACTGAGTGCCACGTCCAGTCCATCCTTGGACACCTCCAGGGATGGGGACTCCGCCACCTCCCTGGGAGCCCCTTCCAATGCCTGACCCCACCAATGCCTCCTCGTGTCCCACCTGAACCTCCACTGATGCATCTTGAGGCCATGTCCTTTCATCCTTGCTAATCCTTCTTTCAGGACCCTCTTCCTTGTTCAGGGCTCCAAAGTTCACCTCCCTCTCCCCAGTTTATCCAAGAAAGCAGCAACAAGATGCTGAGATTTGTTCATCTGGTTGGCAACAGCAAATATATCCTCAGTAGAGGCCAGGGAGCCCATTACAAGAGCAAACTCAACTCCACTGAGAAGTGTGAACACGCCAAGCTGAGCCTCCCCTGCGCTCAACAGCAAAGCACCACTAACAGCTCATAATGTGGAGCAGGGTCTAATGTAAATAAGGAATTAGAATATTACACAGATTCTGTGAGCTCACAGCTCTCGCTTTGGAGAAGCTCTGCCCAGACATGCAGATCAGTGCTGGCATCCAAGCCTGAGCTGATGCAAACCCAGGAATCACATGAACTCATCTTGTTCTGGAGAAAAAGGGCAACAGCAAAAGCCCCGAACCTGTCTTTTCAACTTGAGTTTCTGTCAGTCAGGGAAGTTACTCCAGGCCAGAGTTTGGTCCAGCAGCCTCATTGCATTGGCCTTTGGAGGGGAGAACATGGGAATGGTGTTGGAAAACTGGAAGATGGGGGGAAAGCTGTGATTCCTCCTCAGAAGGGAGGTTGGCAGGCCTCTTAGTTGTGGAGAGGAATCCACAGCCCTTCTTCCCTAACAAGGCAACCCATGAGAGCAGCCCTGCCTTCCCTGGGGGAGGCAGCAGGAGCAGAGAGGCCTCCTCCTCTCAGCCCATATCCCCATGGACAATCCTCGTTCCTGTCCCCCTGCCCACAGTGCCGGTGACGAGCCTGGCAGTGGATTTCCTATTTTTGCAGCCCCCTCATCATCCTCACAGCTCTGGGAGCAGCAGGGGCTGCCGGGAGCTCGGCGATGCTCAACTGTTGAAAGGCAGTTTCCCAGCCTCCGGTGTAGCTCTGAATCTCTTGGCTGTAAATATCCTGGGAAGCTGGGACAGCGAGGAGGGGGCATCCTCCACCTTCCCTGCGAGCCCAGAAGCTGCCTCAGACCTGCTGGCACTGACTCAGATGCCAGCTGGGAAGAGCAGCCGTGTGGCACCGTCTGCTCCTCCTCTGGAAGCACCGAGACAGGCCTGGTGTGACAGAGGGACAGGAATAGATCTGCTCCGTGTTCACACAGTGAGGAGGGGAGCAGCTGCACCCCAAAACCCACAGGCAGCAGCTGAGCCCTTCCCCTCCTGACTGATGGGCTGCTGAAACCCCGCCATCCCCCCTCCTCAGCCATGGCATTTGGGTGACAGTCCCACATATGTCACCGGGGAAGTGTCAAGTCTCACTCAGGAGCCGACTGTGCCGATTTATCACCCTGTCACTCACGGCAGTGGCACAGGTGTGACCCAAGAGCCCCTGTCCTCGCCCTGCTGAGTGATTATTACGTTAGAAAGTCAGAGGTGACTCCATTCTCTTCTCTCCTCTTTCCCTGCCTCTCTCCACCGACTGTGGGGCTGCTCATCCCACCACAAAACTCTGGTTTCTGGAGCAGCAAATTCTTCCTGCCTGCCTGCAGGTGGGCCTGGGTGCTGCTGCCGCCAAAGCACCTTCCAGGGCACGGGGGTACCATCTGTCCTGCAGCCTGGAGAACATTTCCTTCTTAACCAGAGCTCCTCTGACAACAGGAGTTGTGCCTGGGGCAATGGTTGGGGTCCATCCATCTTCTCCTTCCAGCAGAGGTTCTGCTTCTACTATTCAAGCCCCTGAGGGTGGAAGGAATTCAACTCCAAAAGCTGGAGGCCCTGTGTACTTTGGTGCCTGTTTGGACAAGACAGTTGTTGCTGCAGGACAGGGGTTCCTACAGCCACTGTCACTACCAGCCCTATGTCCTGAGCTGGGATTTATAGCCAGGACAACTGGGAAGAGCCACTGGCAGAACCGATGGGTCAAAGCCAGCCCTTGCTGCTGCAGCTTGTCTGGGTCCAAGTGTAAGAGCAGAGGGAGAGATCCCTGCAGTGGTGAATCTCCCTGTGGAAATCTCCACAGCGTCAGCCTCACACCACCCTGGTGGGAAATGGTCCAGGAAGCAAATCCAAGAGGCTCATGTTCACTTTCTTTCCTGCTGTCACTGGAAAACTTTCCTTCCTGGCTGGCACAGGGGAGCTGTCAGTCTGGAAGGTGGTGGGAGTGAAGGAGCTGGGCCAAGGGCACACTGGAGGGACAGCCCTGACCCGCAGCAGAGCTCACGCAGGGGGTTTAGGAGCAGTTTTCCCCTCAGGGGGAAATTCTCCTTGTTTTCCTGTAGCAGGGCAAAATCATACCTGGAGTAAAGGTTTGGATCTCTCTGGTCCCCCCTGCAGCCAACAGCCTGTCTCTGATCTGGCTGCACACCGGGGTAAGTGTGATGCAGCTCCTCCAGTGATTCCCATGCTGGCCCTTCCATGGATGTCACTCCACTGCAGACTGAGCTCCTGTAGCCCAACAGCCGAGGCTGCTCTCACTTCCAGCCTAATGGAATGCATTATTTCCCATCTTCCTCCCCCTCAGAGTCATTATAGTGATTTCACAGCTCACCTTGTCTCAGCAGCAAACCCAGAAAAGCAGGAGCTACCTGGAGCTGATCAGTCCCTGGACAAGGAGTGTGCCTTTGGATCAAACATTAGAGCTGTAATCCACGCTGTGCTGGATGTTCCATTATGCACTGGGAGATCTCTCCTCTCCCGAGGGCTGGTTATGGCAGAACACGCTGAGGGGTGTTGTTCCAGCACAAACAGAGCTATTGGAATGAGCTCAGCGAGAACAGAACTCGGGTTGGGTTGGGAGGGTAAAATTGGATTGGAATTGGATATATGCATGTACAAGCCATTGATCTCATCCATCCTTACTTTACATATGTTGGATTTCCTGCTGCCAGCATAGAGGAGCAGCTCTAAAATTAGCCAAAGGTATGGAAATGGAGAGCGGGATGTTCAAGTGGAATTACAGTTTCATCTCCGGGTGTGTTTGAGAGCCAGCAATGAGGGCAGAGCCCGGTGTCACTGCCACGTGCTGGGCCTGGCACAGCCATGGCACACGGATTCCTCACAGTGCTGTTCATATCACAGGGAGCATGTGAGGGGTTTGGAGCACAGGCAGGAGCTGCAGATCAGAGCTCCTTCCTTGGACACCTCCAGGGGTGGGGACTCCTCCACCTCCCTGGGCAGCCCCTTCCAGTGCCTGACCACTCTTTCCATGGAGAAATTCCTCCTTTTGTCCCACCTGACCCTCCCATGGCACAACTTGAGGCTGTTCCCTCTCCTCCTGTCCCTTGTTCCCTGGGAGCAGAGCCCGATCCCCCCCGGCTCCCCCCTCCTGTCAGGGAGTTGCAGAGCCAGAAGGTCCCCCCTGAGCCTCCTTTTCTCCAGGCTGAGCCCCCCCAGCTCCCTCAGCTGCTCCTCACAGGACTGACTCCCAAGCAGTGCTCAGGAGGATGGGGATGTTCTCTAGAACCCAGAGCCCTCCCTCTCTCCTTTCCCACACTTCTCCATCTGGCTGAGAAGCACGAAGGATTGAAGACACAAATCCTCCGTTTAATTGTGCTGTGCATTTTATTATCTCACCTCAGATTTTGCTGTTAATCTCTTACAGATTTCGTTTACATAAGTGGAGTCTTTCAGCTTTAGCAGCTCCAGCGCTTTCTCTTCTGATTCTGCAGATATCAATCAGCTAAAAAGAAAAGAGAAAAGCACAAGTGTCCTTAAATTTGTCATTCAGTCTTTCAGGGCTTTCTATATTGTTTCCCACTCCTCAGCTCCTAAAGTAAAAGTTCAAAAGCAAACTGAAATCAGCACAGGCAGAACAACCCTCACAGGGAGAGCAGGATCCTCTTACCTGGGCTTACATGTCCCAAACAAGGCAAAGGTGCAGATATAACTCTGGGGAGACCCATCCCACCAATCCCTTAATCTGCAGGCAGGAAGGGCTGCACAGCAGACTGCCCCTGGATGTTTTATTTGCTGCAATTCCCACACACTGAGCCCAAAGGAAAAGGAGGATTCGCAGCAAATTCGGGTGTAATTAAGTGTTAGTGTTAAGCCCCCATGCAGGGAGCTGGTGTTCTGAGCTGGCTGCAGGTGCTGAGCTGCCTTGCAGGTGCAGCTGGAGTTATAAACCCTTTTGGAAATTGCTCCCTGAAGACTGAGGACGTTTTGGGAGGAGGAGTAGGGAAGTGGCAAACAGCACCAAGGGGAGCTGCTGGGACGGGCTGTGCTGCTGCTGACAGCCAATATCAGCTCCAGGGCACAGGCAGCACCTTACAAAGAAATAACCTTCCCAGAAGGGAGTGGTTGGGTTCTGAGGGCTCTGTAAAGTGAGCAAACATGACACAAAAGCCCTTCTGGGGAATATAAATATCTCCGTGCTGATGAGCTGGTGAGGGGAGGCAAAGGCAGAATTCCCAAGGCAGAAATCAGCCTCCTGACAGTACCGTCTGGGGTGTCCTGTAACAGCTCTGCCAGCACTTTCTCCAGGGCATCTTGGTATTTTTCCAGCTGCCTTGGGGTGAGCCACATCCCAGGTCTGACAGGAACAGCCTGCTGTTGAGAGAGCCAGAGAAGTCAGAGGGAAAAGCTGAGGAGAGCAGAGGGAGGCAGGTTGGGAACAGCCAAGCTCCCTGCAGGAGTGGCTGCACGGGTGGGCAAAAAGTTCCCTGTGTTCAAGTGGAAAAACACAATTTTCAGACTTGGTAACCAGGCAAACATGTCTTTGAGAGCTTAGCCTGGCACTTAAATCCCTAAAATTGTCCATTTTCTGCGCTGTATACAGACTTTGGGGAGTGCAGCTGCATGGACCCAAGTTTATAAGTAAGGTCTTGCCAGTGCAGAGAAGTGTGGGATCAGAGGTGACACTGGGCAGCACAGCTGGAGCTGGGTGAGAAGGTGACAGGTTAACCCCAGAGCTGAAGCAGAGCTGGGAATCCCTGCCTTGAACTTGGCTGGGGTTCACTGAGTGGCAAAGGCAAACCTCATGGTTCCATTTTCCTGAGGGAGAAGCCAGGTGGGTCTCAGGGGTGACCTGGCTGCTGAGTGTCCAAGATTATATATAGGGGGGAGGTAAAACCTTTCTCTGGGGCAACCTGGCAGGGCTGGCAGAGGACACCTCTTGGGCTCCTTGTCCCCCTGTGTGTCCTCGTGGGCTCCTCAGAGTCCAGTGGCTCAGCATACCTGGATGGCCCTGGCCGTGCTGGCACCCACACCGGGCTGCTCAGAGGAGCCTTCCTCGTCCAGCTGCTGCAGGGAGCTCAGGGATTTCTTCTGCCCTCCCCTGTTCCTCTCCTTCTCCTGCAGCGTCAGGGCAGAGAGCAAGTGGCACAGTCAGTGATGCTGGGACACAACATCCCGAGGGTCCCAGACCCGCTCTGCACCACAGCAGCAGTGGGATGCCCAGCAGCCAGGAACCCCCAGTGCTGGGCACAGAACCAGGGCACAGGAGGTCTCACCACTCCCTGGAGCCAAGGTGGAATCCCCCCAGGGCCTCAGGAAGGGCCAGCATGGCCTTGGGGACTGAAATGCTGCCATGCAGCAGAGGCTGCACATGGGGGTAAGGTCGGGTTACAGGGTGGAGAGGGAAGGTCTGCAGTGAACAGGACACTGGTGTCACTGTTGATCAGTGCAAGGTGACACTGTCAGCAGGACGTGGCAGCTGAGGACAGTGACCTCACTGAGCTGGCCCAGAGACCTGGCCAGCTGTTCTGGGGCACTGGCAAGGAAGTTTAACTGAGCCCTGCACAGGCTCATGGCACGTGGAGAGCTCTGGGCAGAGGTTGTGTGCTACCAGCCTTCCTACAGGTCTGTAATGTCAGTCCTTTACCAGTCATGGGGCCAAACTTGGCTTCAGGGCCCTCCCTTTATTCCCAGCACAAAGGAAAAAGCCAGAGATGCTTTGGAATATGACAGACACATGCTCAGAGGAGCAGGGGCAGCATCTGGGGGACAGAGTTCACCCACACACATCTAAAAGACCCTCAGTCCCTGGCAGACACGGAGCTACAAGGGCTGTGACACATGAACAATCGACTGGAGAGCGTGCATGGGTCCCCCCCATCCTTCCTGAGGACACTGAGGGATGACTGTGCTCCCCACAGGAAGAATTGCCCTCCAGTGAGTGGATGGGTGTTGGAAATAGGATTTCTCCCGGCATCAATGGGCTCTGCACTGCGGGGGAAGCTCATTCGGGCTGTGTTTCAGAAGATGCAGTTCTCTGAGCCTGCCTGACACTTCTCAACAGTATTAGTTTCACATCAAAAGCAAAAACGTTCTCTCTGCACGTCCCAGAGGTGACAACCATCCGGAGGATGGTTAATTATTTGTTGCAACAAAAGACCCGTCACTGTGGTGATGGGAGGCTGCAGCTTCGCTGTAAAAATTACAGCCACTAGCACAGAGGAAGGAAAAATGAGCCCATGGCTGCAGGTGATAACCCACACAGGTCTGTCAGACCTCATGGAGAGGAGTCCAGGCTCTTCCTTTCTGGTCTCACACCTTAGGAATTGTCTGTGTCCTCCCCCACTGCCCTGAACTCTGGGAGGAGTGTGGGATGGGCTGGATCACAGTGTCTCCAGGGAAACAGGAGGGGCAGGGGATGGGGTGACAGTGGCACCTGCAGAGTCTGGGGGGTGAGGGCTGGAGAAGAACCTTTCCTGGATTATTCAGCACATTTTGGAGGGGTTACCTGCATTTTCTGGAAGTCACTGTGGGTGAAGAAGGGCATGAAGCCTTCAGCCTGTTCAGCCAGCAGAGACACCAGGTACACCAGGAGCAAACTGGCCACCACCTTCCTTGAAACCATCGTGAGAGTCTGAACAACACAGGAAAGAAGACACGAGGGTAAAGTGTGGGCAGGGACGTTTGACCAGAAATCCCTTTGGCCTTGCATCAGCTGCAATCAAATTCATCCCCCAGCTAACCAGAGGTTTAGTTACTCTTCCAGTTGCTCCTGAGCTGAGAATAGAAGTGTCTTGACTGACAATTCTCTTCTCCAACCTGTTTGTGTAAACAGGTTTGTTCTTGAGCACCATCTCCAGGGACGTCAAGCCCAGCCCTGCAGCGCTGCTCCAGCCTCCCTCCAGCTCTGCTGGAGTGAGACTCTCACACATCCAGAGCAAAACACTCCCATCAGTCCCAGTGCCAGCACGGGAGACTGTGCTGCTGTGAGAGAGAAAAACCACGACAGCTGTCTTGTTAATTTTTGTTTTGCTGTTCCTCACCCCTAGAAGCCTTGGTGGACTGGATCTTTTAAGAAGCCTCATTGGGTCCAAGAGAGAAAGGTGCTTGCCAGGTGTTTGCCAGCCCAGCTCTGTATAATCCTGGAATAAAGGGCTCTAAAAACCACCTTCTGGAGTGATTTAACTGTGACTTCTCGTCAGGAGAGGACTTACGTAAACATTAAATGTTCTCTTTAAATATTAAAATACTCTCCCTGGATGGATTTAATGAAGTCTGGTCCCACAGCTTAACTACTTCACCTGATTGGAGCCTGATCCTTAATTAGTTTCGGCAACCTCTTGGTTTGGACATTATTGAAAAGACATTGTTAGGTCAAATTTGACTCCTGAATTAGATTTGCCATAAATATCAGCTGGTATTGAACCAATGGCCAGCGGAAGTTAATAAATATTCTCTTTCCATAGCACCTGCCAGTCACATCCTCTCCTCACTGCTCAGGGCAGCACTGGGGCCATCTCCCCCTGCCCACCCATGCTGGGGCACCGCAGCCCCACAGGTCCCCCTGCCCTGGGACATCACCCTGGGTGTCCCACCAGAGGCACCATTTCCTGCAGGGATCAGGACAGGATTTCTTAGGCTCTCCCCTTGCAATGCAACGTGTTACCTCAACAGCATCAATCTTTCGTGCCTTTTCATTTGTTCTATCCCTGTAGTAAAATATTGCTGTATACAAAGAAATAAACCCCGTCACCACCTTCATCTCGGCTTGACTATCCCTTTGGGAGTTGATTCGCTCCCTCTTCCCCCACAGAAACACCCACACACACTTCTTCAGTCAAAAAATGTCCTTTCTGAGTGGCCCTCCCTTATTTTGCAGGCAGGACATGTTTCCCAGCCCAGAGATCTCTCGCTCAGCCTCTCCAGGCAGAGTGTACTTTGTTGGTAGTGAATTCCCAGCTCCAGAGGGAAAACACAAAGCAGGAGGATCCCAAGTTCAGCATCAGCACAACAAAGTACCACAGGCAGTGCCAGGTCTGCCCATCCCCCTGTGAACGGGGGAGAAATGGCAGTTTGGGGCAGGAGGGGTGAACAGCCGGTGTGAGCACAGTGACAAGGCAGGATGTTTATCTACGGAGCTGTCTTCCAAAAAATCCAGTCATTCCTGTCAGTAGGACCTGCCTGTGACTCATTTTGTCAGTTGAGCTCAGGGGGCACCCGGGCTGCCTGTGCTCTGCAGCCTTGGTGCCTGCTGGGTGCCCATGGCAGGGAGGGAGGCAGGAGCTGCTGGAATCGATGCTACTGTGATGGGGAGGGAGCCAAAAGCACCTTCCCCTTTGTTTCAGCATCGCTTTTGTTCCCTCCTCCTCAGAGCTCTCTCTGCTGGGGCCAAGACATGCCAGGAGCACCAGCACATCTGAGTGCCCACCGAGTGCCCACCCCCCAAGGTGTGGCAGCAGGGACCGTGCACCTACCTGGGCAGTGCAGCCACGGGACGCTGGAGGTCAGAGCTCTTCTCCCTGCTGTTCCCTCCTGGGTGCCCCTGCTGGCCTTCCCTCCCTTTATATCCACGTGCAGTCACTCACCTGCGCAGGTGCCCCCCTGTCCAGCTGCCAGGAGGCTCCTGGCCTGCATGGAAACAGGTTTCCCAGGCAGGGAATGTTGTTATCAGCATTGGATTTTTAGGAGTTCCTCGTTTCCAGGCAGATCCCCTTTGCTCCCTCCCCAGGTTCTGGCTCCAGGCTGGCAGCAGTTCTCAGTGGGTCCCAGATAGATCTCCTGCTGCCTCTGCTTCCCCACCTATGACATGGAGAGATTCCTCTCTCCTGCCTTGTCTTTGTAGATCCTGAGCCCTGCAGGGTGAATTTTTCACCGTGTGAATATACCAGCAATAAAATGACACCTGTGTCAATTATATTTCCACTGCATTTGACAAATCACAATAATGTCAAAGTTGCCACTTTGAGTCTTCCTGTGGCCCCTTTTCCCACCCTCATCGAATCTTTCCCAGTCCTGGGCACACAGGTCCCCCTCAGGGACATAAACCCTGCACTGACATCCCTCTCCAGACATCTCTCTCCCCCTCTGTGCTCCCCCGTCAGACAGGAGCTGATGCCGGAGGGTTTGGGATCAGGCCAGACACATCCTGGTGCTGCTCATGAGGAACCTGAGAGCAGCCAGGCGAGAGACAGGAGGGGGGAACGAGGGGAAGCCATGAAATCCATCTGCATCAAGCAGCTCCATGGGGTGTGAGAGCAGGGAGTGCAGCAGCATTCCTGCCTGGCTGGGCAGTGTGTGCCGGAGATCCGGAACAGGGGCGGCCGAGCCGCGGGAATGACATTTGTCACCTGGCTCCAGCACGGAGAGTCAATACCACACCAACACCCCCCGGGCCACAAGGGCCTGCTGCTGTCACAGCCATCAATACCACTCGATTTGGGCCAGAGCCCTCCTGCAAAACACGTGCCTGTCACTAAGGTGCTTCCCGGCTCCCCGTGCATTCCTGGCAGGTTATCGCTGGGGCCGAGCTGGAAAACTCCCAGAGGCGTCAGCACAGCTTCTGTCCCTGGGACCGTGTGTGGGGTGATGAAAGAACTTTACACACACCACAGGGGGGGTTTCTCCCCTCCCTTTCCTAAACAATTTGCACAAACCCCATTTGACACCGGCTCTCATTTTAATTGACTTTTCCAGTCCTTTTTTGCATGGTTATGATGGATGCAGCTGACGAGTCAGCAGATGGTGCTGGGAAGTGACAAATTAGTTACCGAGAAAGGTCACTTTTTCAGAGCACTAAACTTTCCCATGTCTTGTCCCTTCGTCCCTCCAAGATGTGGCTGGTTGGCAGCTTTCCATCCATCTGCAACGGAGCCTCGGCATCGGAAAGGACAACCTTCCAAATCAAACAGGGAGATGAAAATTAATCATATCTGTATTAGCTGCATGCTGCCTGCCAGCCTCACCTCTTAATTATGCAAGAGTGCTCAGAAAGGAAGGAATCGTGGAGCTGAAAATAAGGGATCTGACTCCAAGTCTGCAGTGGAAGCGCCAGAGTGGGTGGGAGCAACAGGCACCTCTTGGCTCTGGGTTTGCCCAGTCCATGAACGCAGCTTTTGGCACATTCCCATTGTCTCTGCAAAACGAGGATAAATGAAAATAAAAAATCCCAGCTGGAGATCTCCCTGCCAGCATTATCATGCAAAAATTCCATCCTGCTGCAGCCCTGGCACAGTTTGCAACCTGCAGCCCCCAAAACTCCCCTTGGGTTACGGTGCCAAACCACAGCAGAGGTCAGAAGTTCAACAGAAATGTGATGGGCGAGATGGGGCCGGTGCAGTTCTGCCTGTTCCTAAAGTTAAACGTTTGGCATAATTGGAAGTAATTTTCTCTGGAAACTGGCAGTGGAAGTGCAGTCCATTAAGCCATGTATCAACTGCAGTGTCAGGGAACCGAGGGAGGAACGAGCTCCCCATGCCAGAGGCACCGAGCATTTGTCTCCATGTCCTGTCTCTCCCCTCCAAGCCGCCCTGGGCTCGGGGTGTTTGGCAATCAGTGGCTGCAGGAAGCAGGAGATCAGAGCCAGGATGACTCTGAATTTCAGCCCCAGGCCTCTGCAGTGGTGGGGAGCACGTGAGGGACTGGGGAGCACTGAAATCCCCCCTCCTGCTCTGGGCAGGCACTGGGGGGTCCCCAGCAAAGCTTCCAGTTTGGGGGTGAGCACCAGAGCTCCAAGAGCCCTCGTGGGCCACATCACCCTCTTCCTCCCATATCCAACAAGCTGCCTGGATGGAGCTGGCACGCTGGGAAGGGGGACAGGGCTGGCAGGGCCAGTTGCTCCCACAGCCCTGCCAGACCCACAGCAGCCATCAGGCTTGGAAAAAACACATCACCGAGGCCCAGTTCCCTTTGCTGGAGCTCACAGGAATCTCTGTCTCACCCCACTCACATGGAATTGGTTTTGCCCGGCATCAGATGAGTCCAAAACCTGGTGCAGGCTCTGCTGCTGGAATGGCTGCAGTCACACAGCGAGGTCGGTGTGGGAAGGGGCTCACTTTGGGCTCGGGAAGCAGCAGCAGAAATCTCCTTTTGCCAGCCCAGGCACATCCTCCAGCTGCTGTCACTGCATGGATGTGTTACAGACTTCACAGGCTCTGAATGCTCCTAATGAGTAAAAGCACCAGTGGCAAATTTTAATGCAGTTTTCCAAATATTAATGCTCGATAAACATTTGCAGAATTCACAGGCTTAAAACGTGTGTTATTCTGCAGCATAAATATTTTAAGGGCCCAATCTCACCCTTCCTGTCCCCAAACTTGCCTGGTCCCACTCAGATTCTTCCCCATGACTCTGGTATAATTCAGGATAATTCATGGCCATTCCTGGCTGAGTGAGAAGATGCATTAAAAAAAATCCCTTTTTCTAATAAAATACATTTCTATGCTTATAATCACTTCCTGTTCTCTCAATCAAGGAACAAAATAAACAAGAGTAAAATGTCTCCTTGCTTCATTTTTCTGCATTTTTGGTCACTCCTTTGCCATCCTCTCCCCAAGCTGGAAGAAGTGAAGAGAGAAAGGAGAGGAGGTGAGAGAACACGATGGGATGCAGCTCAGCTGTTCCCATTTTGGTTTTCAAATCCAAGCTACAGAGTTTGCACTTGAAGGCTCAGGAATATTTTTAGGAATGGTAGAAAATGCAGCCTCATGCACAGTGAGGGGCTGTAACTGGCTTATCCTGTGGGACTGGGTGCCCTCCCTGGGCACCCCTCTGTCCCTCTGGGGTGCTGGTGACCCTGGGTAGGTGGTGGGAGAGCCTGGGATCTCCCATAATCCAAGTCCTGGACTGAGTTCAAAGGCAGGGAAATCGCTCAGCATTTCAGTAAAAGAGGTCCCTGCCCTGCTCACAGGGAATATTTATTAGATTTGATGAAGTGCAATTCAGCTTTTACACACTCCAGGCACCCACTGACCTTTTATTTTCTCGTTCCCTCCTTCCCTCCTGCTGTTCCCGTATCAAACACCGGCGGATCAGGTTAAGCACTGCAAGACAACACACCAAGGCACCACGAAATGCATTAAGTGGCTGTTTGTGGGGCCGCTCGGGCTGTCACAGCAGCAGGGGGATGATGGATGATGTTCCTGCTCCTACACGGGAGGCAAAACCCAGCCCTGTGCTCACCACTGCAGGGGGGGCACTCAGGTAAGGCCCAGCTCAGTGCAACCAGGTGTGTCCCCGAGGGAAGGGATCCAACCCCTGGGATCTGCAGGTGACCATGGACATGGGCCAGGCATGTGCCCACCCCGGGGGAAAGAAGGGCAGGGAAAAAAGGGGGGAAACAAAGAGGAGGGGGGGAAAGAAGGGGCACAGCCATTGCTGTGGTCAGTGGTTCCAGCTGCCAATAGGTTTCCTGGGACAGTGACAGATCAATGCCAGCTGCCCGGGATTTGTCAGACCCTCACTGGAGTCACCCTGCTC